TTCACATGATATTCCGCCATGATTCCAGTTCCAAGGGAACATACACGTTACGATCAAAGGGCATTAAAGTGCGTGAGACGTGAATTTATATTGTATTTATTAACAGAGGTATATTATGTCACACTTCTCTAGTAAGTTTCGTCTGTGTGTGAAGACAGTAGCACAAATCCGTGAATGAATGTTCCGAAGTGAAATAAACTTCAAAGGAATAAAGGTAAATGGAATTGAATTGAATTAAAGTTGAATAAACTTCAACTTTACTGTTCAGTGCACTGATGTCAGACTCATTTTGGATAATAAAGTTCATTGTTAAATTGTTAAATGCCCTGCCTCCATCATTACATATCTTTGTCACGTCATTATAAGTGTTTGATCACCACATTTGAGTGATCATTGCAAAAAATGTGTTTATGTATATATATTCTGTTTATGTAAATGCTGTATTCTATATATAGTACCAGTCAAATGTTTGGACACACGAATGGGAAAGTGTCCAAACTTTTGACTGGTACTGTACTATAATATACACAAAGAATATTGGCCGATATATTGATATCGGCCTTTTGTTACTCCCTAATATCGGTATTGGCCCCGAAAAACCCATACCGGTCGGGCTCTAATTTTTAATTTAAATTTACCTTCATGAAACCTGCAAAAACCCTTTTAATATCATTTATGTAATAATATAAAAAAAAAAAGAGTCATTTAATTACTGATTTGGCATGTGTTCCTGTGATAAACGCAGTCTGTAAACTGATGTTTTTTGTTTTTCCCTCCTCAGCCTCATCCAAATGTCAAGCCGATGGCATATGCCAACTCTCTGATGCAGCTGGGTATGATGTAGAGGTCTGAAGTCCACACACATCCCTCCGAATCCACTCTCACATTCTGCTCGTCTCTGTTTCCCACACGCTTTCTTCCTCGTGTACACGCGCACACTTTACAGTACTCAAACCTGTAGATACATGGGGAAGAATCACATTGGTGATGCCTTGACTTAAAAAAAGGAACTAGGAATGTTATTCGCAAATTCTTGGATCGACCCTCCCCACGCTCTTGTCATTAATGTTTCCATTCATGTGGAGCTGCATAGTTTGAATTGGATGTTTAGCTCTGTGATAAATGAACTGAATTGTACCAAAGAATGGGCAAGTGTATATGACGTGTCCCAAAGTAAGAGTGTTGATGTAGAATTAGAGCCTTTTGAGGACTGGAGACTAAAAACCTGATCAACACTTTTACCCAACGGTGTGTTTCTACATGGGGCCTTTATTTTGAAATTTTACCCCTTCGCATTCCCTCATCCTATTTCATCTGGAGTACTGTTGGGAGGGAGAACAGTGTGTCTCTTCAATACTATTATTATATCAAAAAACACAATAAAAATCAACTTTCATAACAGGAAACTCCACCCAGAGCGTCTGTCATGAGGTCAAGAGTTTCCGTGATTAAACGTCGCAAAACAAATTGAGGTGCCGTGTTAGCTCCAGTAGTGTTCTTCACACTTTTTGGCTCTCGTTCCCTTCTTTCTGAATAGGGAGAATTGCAGTATTGTGAAGCTCAATAAGTGTTTGGTGGCAGCTCCCACACGTTCTTTCTCCCAACATGCTCGACTGAAATGCACTGGAGATGCTCTGTAACCCTCGTATAACCTTCCACTGTCTGTCTAGCAGATCCTGAACCCTTCGTGTGGACTCCAAATGATACAGCAGAAACCTACCTTCCTCTCTTTAAGCGCACAGCAGCCATGTCCCATGCCCTTGACTTTTTAGAGAATATCATATACACCAACATATATATATATATACATATATATATGTGTGTGTGTGTGTGTGTGTGTATATATATATACACGCATACACACTGTATATTGAAATTTCTGTGTACATGTTTGGAAAAAAGAAGTTATTGAATAAAAAACGCCAGTCCAATACTGTAGAATGTGTTCATACCTCTGTGTGTTCTGTTAGTTGACATGAGTGGCACGGGTCGGCATTCTCAGCATTGGCTGCAGCTGATATCAAAGAATGTTTCATTCAATCGACGAGGACTCAATGGGAAAACGTGTCTTTTTTTTTTTTAAATGTCTCAGTACTGCACAATAGGCATCGTGTCTGGCGAAAAATGTTTTAAATAAAAGTTTAAACAAAACGGGTGAAACTAGTTGTGTGACTTTTTTTGACTCCCAGAGGTTTAGCTCGACCCAGAGAGCTTAAATCTTGAAATCAAGTGTTATTTTAAGTGTTTTAGTGAGTTTAACGCTGTTATGTTTGACATTTAAAAGAGTTTCTGTTATGTTGAGTGTGTTGTGGTTAGCGTTGTGCTAAAGAGTATTGCTGTGGTTAGGTTGTGGGTGGCTACATGAATAGTTGTATGGGAAAAGATTGTGCCGCTGCCAGTAATAAACAAAATTACATGCTAGTTCATTTACTTTTGGCATGTGCTATGTTAGCTATTTATTGGTTTCAGAGCCAGAACACAAACGTATTTATTTATTTTTAGTAATAATCTTAATAATTTGTGTTTCTGATACAAATTATTAGGTTTCTCGAACTCCGTTTCATTAGAAATAGTCATAACTCAAAAAGCTTGGATAACTATATCTGAACAGTCATGATTTCTGCTTAAAAACTAAACAAAGAAATAAGTGTATGTTAGCCTATGGACCTCTTTCAATACTCTGATGCGGTATTCATGAATTTACAAATATATAAAATTAGTTCCAAATATATAGGTCTTGGTCCAAGAGGATCAAGGGCCTACAGGAATATTGTAATTGTAACTATCTTATCTTATAAGAAAAAAAAGTAGTTTTGTATTTTATGAAGGCATAAAATAATGTTAGAATATGAGAAATAAAAAGCCACATGAGATTACACCTCGGTCTCCTGTAGACTGTTATATTACTTATCAATGTATTATCTTATCTCTAGTTAGCCCACAAATTTGATTGGACAAGCAGTGTTCCAAAGAGTAATGATAATTCTAACAGATAGCATTACATATTAATCATTCACAGTTTCATTAAATATGAAATGCATAGCTAACACTGTGATCACTGAAGAAAAAAATGGTGTAGATACAATTTTCACTCAGAAATTACTAGTATTTTTGTTGTTGTTTTAACAGTGTAGACGTAAAAATATATAAATAATCTTTCATGTCTGAAACACCTCAGAGCACACTGTAAAAGTGCAAGCAGGGGAGTGAGATTTCACACAGTTCCTGCTGTAGTCTGCTGCTGCACTGATAAACAATCTGAAGTGTCATTGACTAGAATGGTGGGTGGAGTCCACCTGCTCGTGAGTTTGAACACTTGCAGGCAGCAGTCCAAATGGGCGGAGACTGAAAAAGTGAGCTGTAACCTTGAGTGGAAGCCCCGCCCCCTTTTGTATTTCCCACCACCGCTTTTTATTTTATTTTATTTATTTGTGAATCCGTTTCACTTTTGTGAAATGTATTACACTTATTTGTGGATCTTATTTCAACCGTTTGTGAAACTTTCTTTTTATGAACATGTTTTGCAACAATAAGCCCATACCCTAAGCCTAGTTTTTGAAAAATAAAAATAAAATGTGAAATATGCCATCAACACTATCTAACTATTTTATCATAATTGTAAATTATTGCAATATATATATATATATATTTTTTTTTTTTTTTTTTTTTTTTAAAGGTTTAAAGAGACGAGTCACCTGAAACTTTCTTAAGCCCCACCCACACGAGTTCCTTTCCATCATCCGTCTGCAAACAAACCCACGAGTATCAACCAGAGTCTCCTCACCCACTCTCTGTCTCTCTCTCTCACCCGTGGAGACCTGAGGTACTCATCAGTTCCGCTCATAACACGGGCGCTATGAGTCTGGGAGAAGAGCTGTGTTATAAAGCACATAAGATGGAAGTGGAGGAAGACTTTTACTCGTATGAGTTGAGTAATGCTGAAGGTCTGCGGGTGTATAAGGACAGCGAGGAGCTGTTCGCAGCGCTTCGGCAGAAGGAGGACGAGGTTCTTCTGGCAGCTCAGGTGGGCAACGCTCTGCTGCTGGAGAACAGACAGCTGAAGCAGGAGACAGACGCGCTTCAGCACAAATACACGCAGCAGCTGGAGGTGAGCGACGCGGGGAGAGTCATAATATTAATAACATAAAGCGTAATATTCATTTTTAAACCTATGTCTCTATATCTCTATGTTATTATATTGCATGTCTAATACTTTATGCACAGTGGTCCTGACATGTTTTTGAACACTTAAGGCCGTTTAAAGGCATTTAAATGTAAATTATCGTATTTCTCAAAACTAATTTTACTTTTATGTAACAGGTGTCTTGATATTTTTAGCTGCTTAGTCAGTTCCCATCAGGTTCACGCAGGTGTTTACAAGCTCTGTTGATTTATAACTATAAACTCAACACTTGGAGAGAAAAAAAAAAGTTTTTTTCTTTGAACAGTGAGCTCTTGGCACTTGCTTTGATTCTTTATCTAATACAATCAGACATTTTTACTTTTAAATGCATATTTTAGGCAGGTATTCGAAATGTAATGCAACAGTAAATTTAACTGCTCTTTTCATAGTTTTAGCATTTTCATATGAGATCCGAAATGAGAACAGGTTTTTCATGTTGGTGTTTTCTCATTTAATTATTTACAATTAATTATTGCAAATCCGATTCAGTTTTAAAAGTTGTATGCCTTTGAATATCAAATATGTTACCATAAAGGAATAGGTCTCCCGGAAAATTAAAATGCTGTTATTATTTACTCCCCCTCATGTTGTTTCGTACACTATGCCTTTTCTGACATCTGTGGAAATCAGGGGTCAGTTGCATAAACATAGCCTAGTTCTGTCTTAAGTACTAGTTTGACTAACTAACAGTTAACAAAGTGGTAATCAGTCTTAATTTTCAACTTCAGATTAGACTAATCTACCTTTTAATGTAATTTGCCTAAAAAGTTATGACCACTTTTGTGAAAAATAAATAAATTATATATATATATATATTAGTGCTGTCAAACGATTAATCGTGATTAATCGCATCCAAATATAAAAGTTTTTCTTTACATAATATATGTGTGTGTGTGTTGTGTACATTTATTATGTATATATACATACACACACATGCATGTATATATTTAAGAAAAATATGTTACATTTCTATATTAAATATATTTATATTTAATATAAATTATACAAATATAAATATATACATGTAAATATTTTCAAAATATATACTGTATGTGTGTGTATTTATATATACATAATAAATATACACAGTACACACACATATATTATGTAAAGAAAAACTTTTATTTTGGATGCGATTAATCACGATTAATCGTTTGGCAGCACTAATATATACATATATATATATATATATTCAATTTTTGTCATTGGAAGTTCACTAAATGTCTACTAAAAAAAATACATTACAAAACAAATGTCATACATTCTACTGACTAAGTAACTTTGCATAGGGTGACCATACGTGCCATTTTCCCAGGACGCGTCCTGGCCAGGATTTGTTTTGGCTTTGTTTTCCTGTTTTCATGCTTGCTGAAGGTAATGATCGAAAAGTAGTTTGACCAATAACATGCATGCATTGTACATAATGGACCAATCATGGCGTGTGAGAAGGTGGGATCTACGGTCAAAGCGATGCAATTACGCATACATATTAGGTGTGTTCGACTTAAAAACAGCACGGCTCAGACCGATCAGTGTTTGACATCAAAGTAACTCGAGAGCGTTTCGAAAGCATAACCGTCTGTATGGTACTTTGATGTCATACACCGATCGGTCTGCACACGCAAACAAAGCCAAAACCTAGATATTTTAGGCAATATAGAAATCCTGGCCAGGACGCGTCCTGGGAAAACGGCATGTATGGTCACCCTAACTTTGCAACTACATGTTAATTTATTCTACTAACCCTAAACTAACAGTCTAATACACTAATGACTGCTAGTTGATATGCAGTTGCAAAGATACTTCTAGTTAGACAAATGTCTGCAGTGGACTCTGGGATTAAAGTGTGATATCTGAGATTGGTTTGTGTGAGGATCTGATGGGTGTGTGTCCTCAGGAGCTGGAGCAGGGCAGGTACGAGCTGCGGGTCAAACTGGAGGACTGCCGGGTGCAGTGGGAGAGTCAGGTGTCCGAGCTGGAGCGAGACGTGCAGGAGCTGCAGGCGCAGGTCCAGAGGCTGAGCCAGAGTCTGAGCGAGGCGGAGAGAGAGAAGAGCAGACTGAAGCAGGAGCACAGCGGACAGAGCCACAGACTCAGAGAACAGCTGCAGAGGGTCAGTGACACCTACTGTGCATCACATCAACCACTCGTTTCATCGTTTCTCTTTTCAAGCATCACTTTTATCATGCTTGCTGATCTGAACAAACACAAAGCATAAGTATTAAACCCTTGTGCATAACTCATCCTGTAACACTGGAACTGCAGGCAGAAAATGACAGCTCAAATGCAGCATTTGGCCAGAAACCTCCACGCTCACTCACATTTGATTAATGCAATTAAAAAAAAAAATTAGTAAATAAATTTTTGCATGATATCATCATGATAATCACGATTTATATACTCGTCTGCGATATCTGCATTGGTTACAAGCCTCCACAAGTTTTCGGTTGCCAGATTTCAAGAGTTTATATCCCCCATATTTTTTTTTGCACAGTGGTTTATTTAATCTTCCGAACCTGGCTACTATGCGCATGCGTGCGTTCTCTCTACTTTACAGAAAAAAACTTCTGAGCTGAAAACAGTTGGAGTTTAGCGATCTATATTCTGCTGAAATGAAAGTTTACTACAGCCAGTCTGTTTTCTTTCATGCAGTCATTTGCATTGTTTGCTGTGACTAAATCTGCAAAATGTAAAAATGAAATAATCGTGTATAATCGTGATAATATTTTTGAGCAAAATAATCATGATAAATCCTTAAACCATTATAGCACGCCCTATCATATGAAAATCATTGTAACCTTTTGCCGCACTCATATACGCAGTGATCAAAGTGACAAGCCAGTTTTGATGATGCGATCATTAAGGGCAGGTCTCTTTACGCATCTGTTGCTTTTATTGTGTAATGAATGTGTCCTTTATTAGCCAGACAGCAAAACCCAACCACACACTTTACTGGAGCACATACGCATATAGGGCTCATAAAAGACTGTAACGATTATAAAGGCCAATAATGCAACTGATTCTGTCTCTTGCTCAGATAAAGACGAAGTCACACTGTTCCTGGGCTCAGTGTAGCAGATACGATATGAAAAAATGAGCTGACATCCAAATATTGTGAATGCAGTGTGAGGAAGAATGCTTTTAGTAAATCTATGGGTAACACTTTACAGTATCATAAACATGAATGATGAATAATATATCTATAGCATTTGTTAATCTTAGTTATTGTACATTTTAATATTTACTGTATTAATGCATTTTTTAAATAAAAACGTTATGCTAAAATGAGTTAATGCACTAACATGCACAAACAATGAAGAACTGTTTTTATTTACTAACATTAACAAAGATTAATAAATGCTGGGGGGGGAGTATATTGCTCATTGTTGGTTAATGTTCGCTAATGCATTAACTAATGCTAACGAATAGGAACTTCTTGTAAAGTTTTACCAATCTATGAAATGACGCGGTGGTCACATTTTGATTTTAGCTCAGTATTTGGCTCAGGGTTTGTGGCAGTGCTGTTTTGTGACATTCCTGTTTACTTTCCTCATCCTTTCCGGTTAAAGCCATATGAGCGAAACCACAGCAACATCTGACTCAGATTCTAGAGATAACAGTGTTTAATTCATAAAAAAACGTGTCACATTTCAGCCCAAAATACAAAGAGAAAAACAGGAAATTATATTTTGCATATTTTAGGATTTAAAGATTTTCTGGTAACACTTTAGATAAGTGCACATACATTCACTATTACCGTAACTTACAATTTTCTATCAATAAACTCCTGATTTGCTGCTTATTGCTAGTAAGGTAGTTGTTGTAGTTATGTTTAGGTATTGGGTCGGGATAAGGGATCTATGCATTTTTATGTACTTTATAAGTACTAATAAACAGCCAATATGCTAGTACTATGTATGCCAGTTAATAGTGTCCCCTAATAATAAATAAGTGTTATGAATTTTTTTTCTTATGTTGAGATATTTTACCAATTTTTTTAATGAAATTTTGAATGTTTGTTACATTATTCTTAATATTTATTCTAATTACATTGTCATAATACAGTAATGTGTTACATTATTACAGTAAAATATTACTGCAATACAATAACTTTTTTATCAGTATAAATTAAAGGCAGTGCAGCAAATAACACCATGAAGTATAAATACTTTACAATGAAAAAATGTGTGTATATATATATATATAGAGAGAGAGAGAGAGAAGAAACAGTAAAAAACAGTTTCTTAACAGTAAGAAAGTAGCAGGAACAACTTGTCATTAAAAGGAGTTTTTTTTAGGCACAACACGAACCAACTTACCACATTAATATAATATTAAATTATAACAGCATATTGGAGTCAGAACAATGTATTTTATAATAGCAGTTTTACTGTTTTATTTATCAATTGATTAAAATTGTTTGCACATTTATCATCAATTCTAATGTTTTTGGAATCAATTCCTTCCGTTTTCCTTATAAGCTTGTTTTCTGCCACGAGATAAAAAAAAAAAGTATATAAATGATATAGATTTACAATAAACAAGAAAAAGTCAGAATTGTAAGATAAAAAGTCACAATTACCGTTTTTTTTTTTCGTGGCAGAAACAAAAAAACAACAACAACAGAATTGCGAGATGAAAACTCAGAGTTTGCGAAAGAGAGTCAGAATTTTGAGTTCATATCTTGTTTTTATTTTTATTTCGTGGTGGAAACGGCCTTCCATAAATCCTCTCTGTCTTCTTGAATGAGGTGAGAAACCTAAATTTAGATCCACCTGCTGCTGTTGACTCATTCTGTGTGGAAACCACTTTCGCACAAG